TATACAAGTCTTTTTGATGATGAGTACTCTGATCATTCTTACTATCACTATTGCTCTATGAACGCTGCCTGCGGCAGGAAGAGACGCTGACGCGTCGGGTCCCGGGCTGCGGGTTCCATAAGATGCCCTGGGCGGCAGACGGCCGGGATTCGTCAAAAAGGGGCTTAGGGTTTCAGGTTAAGGGTTTAAGCTTCAGGGTTTAGAGTTTAAGGTTTAGTGTTCAGGGCTTAGGGTTTCAGGTTAAGGGTTTAAGCTTCAGGGTTTAGAGTTTAAGGTTTAGTGTTTAGGGTTTAGGCTTCTCTTCGCTGCCATGCGCCGCCTATGCTTGTCTTAAAGTGGTCGAAGAGACATGCGTAGCGGGTTGGCGCAGCCTGCAAGCGAGCAGGAAGAGAGGGGTCTCGGTTTAGGGTTTAGGGTTTAGGGTTTAGGGTTTAGGGTTTGGGGTTTAGGGTTTAGGGTTTAGGGTTTAGGGTTTAGGGTTTAGGGTTTAGGGTTTAGGGTTTAGGGTTTACTGTCTATGGGTTGCCTTGGCCCCGGAAGGCCTAAGTGGCGGGTGTTAAGTAATACTTCAGGGCCTCTTTCCGCAGGGAGGAGTGGTCTGGATGATTCCTAATGAGGGTTTAGGTTAAGGGTCAGGGTTTAAGGTTTAGGATCTCAGGTTTAGGTGTTTTGCTTTAATTTAGGGTTCAAGCGTTAGATTTAGATGCGTTGTTGGGGGTTTAAGCGTTAGGGTTATGAACAGTTAAACTCTACGGCATATACCCCAAAAACCCTGGAGTTTTGTTTCTGGGGGTTTCGTGGTTGAAATGCTGAGTTCTCGGGCTTTTTTCCCCCTTATATACCATAAACGCCTTGCTTGCCTCCCTCGCCCAAAGACTTGTCCGCTGGCTCGAACCAACCCTTCAACGAGCCTAAAACCTTAAACCCTAAAACGAGGTCTTGAGCAGACTATTCCTGCGGGGGTGCCTTGTAGAGTTTAGGTTTCGGGTTTAGGGTCTCGAGTTTAGGGTTTCGGGGTCAAGGCCACCACCAAACCTAAGCAGTTCTTGCGGGGGCCGCCGAGCAACCCAGCGGCGCCGCCAGGACCCGGCGCAACAACGGCACGGCCGGGGCTGGCTGTACCTGGGTTCCGTCGCAGAGTGGGCTTAGGGTTTAGGGTTTGGGGCTTAGGGTTTTTGGGTATTCAGGCTGAGGATTAGGCTACCCTAGTCAGGAGACGACATGACCAACCCCAGCCCCCAAACCATGATCAGCACGCACGCCACTTGCAGGAGTGACGTAGCAGCCCGCTTCCCCAAAAAGTCGCCCCAGTACCTGAGAAAAGTCCCCGAAACCCGAAACCCTAACCCTGAGTCATCTACCTTCCACAAAGGAATTCCAACAAGTCAGCCGTGGAGCCTGTCATTTGCCTGGGTCGCGGGGCCTGGCCTGGCCCCTGAGGCCAACCATACTTGCAGGCCCCTACAGACCCCGGAGGCGCGGCTTGTTCACCCAAACAAGTCTTGCAACTGACAAGGACTTGTGAACTGACCCTAAACACTAAACCTAAACCCTAAACCCTGAACCCTAAACCCGAACCAGTCAACGCCGACATTGGCCCCTGTGATAAGAAGGCGACTATAAGGTGCTCTTCAACGTAGCTTTGGAGGCCGCAAACCGTGTTGCACCAGCGACTTGGCTCAATGACTTGATCTGGTCCACGCGAGCCTGCGCAAAACTTGCCTCACCCAACGCAAGTCTCGGCCGTCTCGGCATCCCCTTCGCTACTCGGACATCGCCAACCCGGCGAATGCTTGTGTTTGGCCCTGCCAAACCCTAGGCCCCAGCCCCCAAAACCCCAACCCTGAGGCCCAAGCCTCAAATCCCAACCCGAAGGACTTTCTAGAAACATCAGCCGTTTCACTTTTATGGAACAGATTGACTCCAAGTCCGTGTCAACCCTAAACCCCAAACCCTGAAGCCTAAACCCCAAACCTCGAACCCTAAACCCCAAGCCCCAAACCCCAAACCCTAAACCCCCAAACCCCAAACCCCCAAACCCCCAAACCCCCAAACCCCAAACCCCAAACCACAAACCCTAAGCCCTAAGCCCTAAGCCCTAAGCCCCAAACCCCAAACCACAAGCCCTAAGCCCTAAGCCCTAAGCCCTAAGCCCTAAGCCCTAAGCCTAAGCCCTAAGCCCTAAGCCCTAAGCCCTAAGCCCTAAGCCCTCAGCCCTAAGCCCTAAGCCCTGAGCCCTGAGCCCTGAGCCCTGAGCCCTGAGCCCTAAGCCAGGCCACGAGGGATTCGTGCCACCAAGCCGGGCCAAGGAGGAGGCCAGCCGCCAGGGCACCGAGAAAACGCCGAGGCATGGCTCCAGGGTTTAGGGTTTAGGGCTTACGGCTTAGGGCTTAGGGTTTAGGGTTTAGGGTTTAGGGTTTAGGGTTTAGGGTTTAGGGTTTAGGGTTTAGGGTTTAGGGTTTAGGGTTTAGGGTTTGGGGTTCAGAGTTTGAGGTTTAGAGTTTGGGGTTTAGGGTTTGGGGTTCAGGGGCTTTTGGGGTATGGGGGCTTCTGGGTTTCGGGACTTCAGGTGTAGGGGCTTCTGGGTTTTAGCAGGGCTTTAGGGGATAATTAGCGTTTTCAGGTGCTAGGGCTAAGAGTTTTAGGGCTTTAGGGCTTTAGGGCATCGGAAAGGACGGGAGGTGGAGACCCCGTCCTTTCCGCGCTTTGTCTGCGAATCATGGACCGGAGGCGCGGGCGTCCGTCGCAATGGGCCTGCGTGATCTCCAGGTGAGACGTTCTCATGGACATCGGGCCACTGATTGCTTCTTCGGGGTCTGGGGTCTTCGACTTAGGGTGGTTCGGGACACTTTAGGGCTCTCGGATGTAGGGGCTTTCAAAAAGGTTCGTTTCCTAGGCCCAAGAGTAGCAGGGCATGGAGCACAAGTGGCACATGCTGAGCCCCTAAGCCCTAAGCTCTGAACCCTAGGCGTGAACAATGGAGGGTGGATGCTCCTCTTCAGCCGCAAACTCCAAACACTAAACCTTGATCCCAAAACCCTAAATCCTTAAACCCCAAACCCGAAAGCCCAAACCCTAACCCCAAAATCTTAGACCCCGAACCTAGGACGCCTCACCCCAACATCCAAAGCCCCAAACATGTTCTTCAAAATGCACATGAGCCTTCAATTTTGGAAACCTGATGAATTTCATGAATAATATACACCCTTTAAACCCCCAGGGCCCGACCTTCAAAGCCCTTTGAAACCCTAAACCCTAAACCCTGAACCGCGTTGAGGAACCCCAACCACAAGCTTTAGAGTTTTTCTTGTTTAGGGCTTACGGAACTTAGGGTTCAAAGCATGGGACTCTAGGGTTGCAGGAAACCCTAAGGCCTAAACATATTGGGTTTAGGGTTTAGGGTTTGGGGTTTAGGGTTTGGGGTTTAGGGTTTAGGGTTTAGGGTTTAAGGTTTAGGGTTTAGGGTTTGGAAACGAAATCCCAACATCCCAAATGGCCATGCACCGCTGCCTCGGGGCGGCCTCCACTCGCGCACTTGCATGCGCGCCAAGGCTGCTTGGCATGATGGGGTTCCAGTGCCACTTGGGTAGGGTTTAGGGTTTAGGGTTTAGGGTTTAGGGTTTAGGGTTTAGGGTTTAGGGTTTAGGGTTTAGGGTTTGGGGGTTTGGGGGTTTGGGGTTTGAGGGGTTGAGGGGTTGAGGGGTTGAGGGGTTGAGGGGTTTGAGGGTTTTTAGGGGTTAGGGTTAGGGGTTGAGGGGTTGAGGGGTTGAGGGGTTGAGGGGTTGAGGGGTTTAGGGGTTTAGGGGTTTAGGGGGTTAGGGGGTTAGGGGTTTAGGGGTTTAGGGGTTTAGGGGTTTAGGGGTTTAGGAGTTTAGGGGTTGGGATTTAGGGTTTAGGGTTCAGGGTTTAGTGTTTAAGGTTGTGTGATTCTTAAGCTTCGGGGTTTAGTGCTTAGCCAGGGTTCAGGGCTTCCGGCTTAAGGCTCTACAGTCTACAAGTCTTCCGAAACCACAAGCCCTACCGCTCGAGCCAAGGTAACACTCTTGCCCCTAAACCCTCAACCCTAAACCCTACGTGGTCAGTTCTCTGAATTATGGTCCTTTTGTGGGCACCCTATATAAGCGCGGCCGCCTTGAAATAGGAGCCCCAAAAGGGACCATAATGTAGAGAAATCACCATCTATCCTCCCCTTAGAACCTTAACAAAAAAATGTGTTTAATACCCTCTTGGGTTTTATATAAACTCCACCAGCCACACCACCCCCAAACGCTAAGCCCTAAACCCGAAGACCTAAACCCTAAACCCTAAACCCTAAACCCTAAACCCTAAACCCTAAACCCTAAACCCTAAACCCTAAACCCTAAACCCTAAACCCTAAACCCTAAACCCTAAGCAGCCACACCACCTCCTCCCAGAAGCGACCCGAAGTTCCAATGAACCCGGACATGACCCGCCAGGGGACTTGCACATATTTGGAGGTTCATGGCACTTATTAACCAAGTGTTAACTGTACTTGTAGGGTTTAGGGTGTAGGGTTAAGGGTTTAAGGTATTTATTCACCACTTACAACTGTACTTATCACCCACTCATAAGCCCCTTAAGTGCCCTAATATGGTTATGAGTACAGTTGCAAGTACAGTTATAGTTGGTGAATGAGTACCATGAACCTCCAAGCACAGCTCTTTTCCAAAGCAAGAGTTCCCTCGATGAGCCACGCGAATTTTCAAGGATCTTCAAGACAGCTGACTAGCCCGTGATTGTGTACGCTGGCGAGAAAGAACCCGAACATCACCATATCTCACATGGAAGTATGTATATCCTACATACATATAAGAGCCCAGAACCTTGATGAAACGGTAAAGCATCGATCCGCGTAGGGCCGAAGGCACTTGTATGCCTCCAAGTTACATCGAATTACGGCCATCGAAAGCACAAGAGAGCTGCTGCAGTTGTTCAGCAACGAAAAATCACCCCTCAGAAAGCCACCGTCAAGGCCCCTCTCATGCCGTGGGAGCCCTCACAAAGTTGTCTTCATCAACAGGACCCCAAACCTGGGTGAAACTTGGGGTGGGGGGGGGGGGGGGGGTTATGAAAAAAATGTATATCCATGGAAAATAGTTGACTACATGTAGGAATTGTGAGCCATAAACAATTGAGAAGATACTATTTGCTTAAGAATCCCAAAAGAAAAATAAACAGCAATCCCTATGTTACCCTCACAAGGGTGATTTTTTTTTTTTTTTTGGGGGGGGGGGGGTGGGGGCTCTTAAGCAAATAGAAGTATATTTCCAAATCCAGCCCCAGAAACATTGGTCTTCTCCTCATCATCAAGCTCGATGCGGTAGGGATTGCCTTTGGAGGGATCCAGGCTTAGAATCCCTTAAGGTCATACCCCTGAAGGGTTCCCTTGGTTTGGGGTTTAAGGTTTAGGGTTTAGGGTTTAGGGGTTTAGGGGTTTAGGGGTTTAGGGGTTTAGGGGTTTTGGGGTTTTGGGGTTTTGGGGTTTTGGGGTTTTGGGGTTTAGAGTTTAGGGGTTTAGGGGTTTAGGGGTTTAGGGGTTTAGGGGTTTAGGGGTTTAGGGGTTTAGGGGTTTAGGGGTTTAGGGGTTTAGGGGTTTAGGGGTTTAGGGGTTTAGGGGGGGTTTAGGGGTAGGGTTTAGGGGTTTAGGGTTTTAGGTTTAGGGGTTTTAGGGGTTTTAGTTTATGGGGTTTAGGGGTTTAGGGTTTTTAGGGGTTTAGGGTAGGGGGGTTTAGGGTTAGGGGTTTAGGGGTTTAGGGGTTTAGGGGTTTAGGGTTTAGGGTTTAGGGGTTTTAGGGGTTAGGGGTTAGGGTTTTGGGGGTTTAGGTTTTAGGGGTTTAGGGTTAGGGGTTTAGGGGTTTAGGGGTTTAGGGGTTTAGGGGTTTAGGGGTTTAGGGGTTTAGGGGTTTAGGGGTTTAGGGGTTTAGGGGTTTAGGGGTTTAGGGGTTTAGGGGTTTAGGGGTTTAGGGGTTTAGGGGTTTAGGGGTTTAGGGGTTTAGGGGTTTAGGGGTTTAGGGGTTTAGGGACGAGCCTTCGTCCCACTGGCGCAAGATCTTGCCACGCTGCCACCGGCCTCCATCCACCTTTGCTTCTACTGCATCACCCACCTTGAAGCGAAGCTCTCCCACTTTGCACGCCTGCGAAGGGTTTCGGGTTTGGGGTTTCTAGGGCTTGGGGTTGGGGTTTAGAGTTTAGGGTTTTGCGGGCCTCCGCTAAGGATGATGGCTAAGAAGGGTCTCTACCCGGACCATGTCACTCTGATCATTGATCTTCAGTGTCTTCCAGCGCGCAAGGGTCTTAGGGCTACCCAAATTCCACCCTTCAACAGGTAGACCCAAAACCCTAAACCCTTAACCCTAAGCGATAAACCCTAAATCCCAAAAAGGCGTTCCAGACCGGCCTGCACTTGACTCAAAAGCTCCTCCTTGTCCAGGTTCCGACCGATGAAGACGAAGCGGCACTCGCGCACTTCATCCGCTTGCCACTTGTTGTCGCTGAAGCCCCCAGAGAACCTCGAAGTGCTGGTGTTCAAAACCTCAAGCCTAGTTAAATCCTGAACCCTAAACCTAAACCCTAAAACTTTAAACCCTAAACCCGAAACCCTAAACCGGGCAAACGGCTGTTTAGGGGTCTAGGGCTATTGGGGCCAGAGCCAAAGGTAGGCCTCAAGGCGCTTGCGTCGGTCCCAAAATATGATGCCCGTAACAGGCCTGCGTGGAGTTGGCCACTTCCCTGCGCTGAAGCGTGTCCAACTATAGGCCTGCTTAGCAGTAGACACTTGTCTGACCCTAAACCCCTAAACCCTGAACCATGTGACTTGTCTGGGGTTCATGAAACGAGAAAAAGAACACCTGAAAGCTGAATGACTGCGAAAATGTTAGTCGTTGGAACCGAAGTATAGAGACCAGCTTTCCTTCACAGGTTGGCGTTTCGCAACTAACCAACTGGGTTTGAAAACCCCTAAACCCTAAACCCTCAACTCCCAACCCTGAACCCTGAACCCTGAACCCTAAACCCTGAACCCTAAACCCTAAACCCTAAACCCTTAACCCTAAACCCTTAACCCTTAACCCCCAAACCCTTAACCCAAGCCAAGCCGCAGCATGTGCACTCCCTGGAAGACGAACTTTCGCGCCTTGCCCTTCACGGCCAGCACTCCTCTACAATTTGCTTGAGAACCCCCAAAAATGATAATACTCCCTACACCCTAAACCCTAAACCTTGAACCCTGAATCCTGAAATCTACACCCTAAAACCCTAAACTCTGAAACCCTGATAAGGACGAATGTCTTTACTTGTTTGGGTAGTTCTTCAGCAAATAGCGCTCCTTTGTAGCGGAAGAGATCTGCGCCCTTGTTCTGGATAATATCGCTGATCCTGGGGTCTGAGGGTTTCAGGGTTTCAGGGTTTCAGGGTTTCAGGGTTTCAGGGTTTCAGGGTTTCAGGGTTTCAGGGTTTCAGGTTCAGGGTTTAGGATTCAAGGTTTCGGGCGTTCTGAATAAAATTGCTGATCCTTAGATCAGTCACCAAAAATCCATCACCCTTGCGCGAGCTTCCATTGATACCAAACTTAGCGCTTTTGCGGGCGCTCGTGTTTTTGCTAAAATAGTCCTTACAGGCAAAATATGCTGTTGCGAAGTGTCCGGAACCATTCTAAGAGCAAAGAATGAGAATTGCATTACTGAAGGGGACTCATTCGCAAGCTCATCTGTATTAACAAAATTGAACAGGATAGCAAGCCATGAGCAGGGACAAGGAGAAGAATCCAAAACTTCGGGATTTTTTCATGAGGTGATGAAACTTCATCCGCGATCAAGTAGTAAACTTAAAATCCAATGGTGGATTCTTCTAGCCACATAGAACAAAAAACACATGATCGCACCCTAACACCTACTGTAACACCCAACATCCTAAAACCCTAAACTGATATCGGCCATGGAACGTAGCCTTGTAGCTTGTCCACCCCCTACCCTAACATAAACCTCCGAGCCCCTACCCCTAATCTTAAATACTCAGAAGCGTCTGCCATAGGATCATTAGGATCCAGTCTTGTAGCTTGTTCACACTAAGTTCCGGAGCCAGAACCTCTTTTTGAGAGGTCTCCCTAGACACCTCCCAGAGGAGCCCCCCCCCCCCCCCCGTCCGGCCGGCGGCCGATTTTCTTGCGGCTCCCACTCCCACTCCCAGGCTGGCTGGCCACCAAGCAGGTAGCCTTCCAGGTGTTTCAGTTGTCGCTTCCAAGCCCAGAGGACCTACTGTTGCTCCTCGAATGGCTCAACATGCATCAGAATCATATACATCCCCCCTAAATACGGCCAGGGGATCCAGTCTTGTAGCTTGTTCACATTCAGCTCGCCTTCGAACTTGCAGCTGCAGGAAGAGACCGTCTGGTCATGCTGGTGCTCGCCCTCGGTGTCCAGGAACTCTGGGTCCATCTTGAGCACGCGGTCCAGGCCTTGCGAGCTTAGCAACCATGACTATTCGGGTTTAGGGTTTAGGATTTTGGGTTTAGGGTTTAGGGTTAAGGGTTTTGGGTTTTGGGAGCTTAGCAACCACGACTGCTAGAAGGTTGTTTCTTGAATTAAAGAAAAACTCCCTAATAGTCATGGTTGCTAAGTTAGAAGGGTTTAGGCTTGAAGTTTTAGGGCTTAGGGTTTAGGGTTTCGGGCACAAGGGTACCCACTGGGCTGCTGCCCCCAAGAGGCTAAAGGCGTCGAGGTTCAGGAGGTTCTTTGGATCAATGGCACTGTTTTGGCAGCGGAAGATGGGCGCTTCGGAGTTGATGGCCTTTATCCTGGCCTCGATGCCATCCAACTCCTCGCTCTTCCTAGGCTGGCCGCTGTTAAAGCCCTCTGAAAATTAACATAAGCCTCTGGAACTCATAGAAGATGTAGATAGTTCCTACATATAGTCCTCTTCAACTCACAAAGTTGGTTCTAGTATAGAAAGTATGACATATGCCAAACAAGGAAGATGTAGATGATTCCTACATATAGTCCACTTAAAGACAGAGTTAGTCTAAGTATAGAAGCATGAGATATCCCAAGGTCAGACCAAGTTTCACAAGGTCGATCTTATTCAGCAGAACGCGGTCCGCGAAGGCCAGCTGCTCCACCGACTCATTCTCCACGCCCTCGGGCTTCTCCTGTTTTTGGGTTTAGGGTTTAGGGCTTGGGGTTTAGGGTTTCGGGCTTAGGGTTTAGGGTTTAGGGTTTAGAGTTTAGGGTTTAGGGTCTTAGGGTTTAAGGTTTAAGGTTTAGGGTTTAGGGTTTAGGGTTTAGGGCTCCTCGTCCAGGTGCTGGAGGATGTGCTTGGCATCCACCACGGTGCAGATGCCATCGAGCTTGTACATCTTTTGGATCGCATCCTCACTGAGTACTCCACAGAAAGGAAAAAATGAGGCCCAACTTCGAGTTCTAAAGGGACTTGCAATACCCGACACGCCCAATAAAAGGTTTAAGGATACCTAAACCCTAAACCCTAAGCCCTAAACCCTAAACCCCTAACCCCTAACCCCAAACCCCAAACCCCAAACCCTAAACCCCAAACCCTAAACCCCTAACACAAGCGTCGTCCACAAAGAAGGTTTGTGCCACCGGCGCTGGGTCCGCCAACCCGGTGGTCTCAATGATGACACCGTCAAACTTGTCCTGGGTTTTGGGGTTTAGGGTTTAGGGTTTGGGGTTTAGGGTTGAGGGCTTGGGGTTTGGGGTTTAGGGTTTAGGGTTTGGGACTTTGGTGTGGGGTTTGGGGTTTAGTGTTTAGGGTTTGGGGTCTGGAGTTTAGGAAGGTTTAGGGCTTCGGGCTTAGGGCTCAGGGGGCGTGATAAGAGCTTGACCTTCTACGGGGTAACAGAGGGCTATATAGGATTAGGGCCCACGGGCTTCTGAAAAATGATTCCAGCTCAACCCGAGTGTCTACCTTCTTGTACAACTTCTTGAGGGTCGTGACCAAATCTCCTCGAACGGTGCAGCAAATGCAGCCGTTCATCACTTCGATCATCTCCTCTTCTGTAGACTCCAAGAGAACCTTCTCGTCGACCCCGACTTCACCAAACTCGTTCTCCTGGGATGGGCCCTTAAAACCCTCTGAAAGATTCCTACATATGGGGGGGGTTCCGAAACTGTGGGTACCCTTTTTTGGGGGTCCCTTTAAGGGGAATCGCTTCTATTTGGGGCATCAAAGGGGTACCCCTCTGTTGGGAAGCACCCCTATGAGCCTCTTAAACCCAATAAAGGCAAGGGACCATATAAGATGTCCCTAGGCCCTGCCGAGTCTCAATGATGGCAAACTTCATACCATGGTCAGGCGACTTGAGGATGTGGTTGAGCAGCGTCGTCTTCCCCGAGCCGAGGAAACCGGTCAGCACGGTCACCGGCACCCGACGATCCGTAAGGCGAGCGCGGACATTCCGCTTCGGCGCCATGGTTTTTTCTAAGTGCTCTAAGGGAGGTTGGGTGGCTTGAACCAGAACATCAAGAGTGGGATGCTGCTCCTGCCACGGCGTCTTGTAGCATGATTTGCGGCAACAGGGAAGTATGGAACACCAACGGGTCTCCACAGTTCGGGACGCCCTGCAATTTGGGGCCTTTGCTACGTGAGTCATGGTGCGTTGCTTTTCCTCGCCGAATTTTGCTTCAGCAGCTCTGAACCCTAAACCCTAAACCCTAAACCCTAAACCCTAAACCCTAAACCCTAAACCCTAAACCCTAAACCCTACTGAACAAGCGCCCCTGCGCACCGTCCCTTTTAGGACGCGCGCAAGGCCCGGACTTTGGAGCCCTGAGGGGCGCGACGGAACTGCGCGGAGCTCCACACATCGTGGAGCTCCAGCCAAGACTCCTCAAAGGGGTCTTCCAGGGCTTAGGGTTTGGGGTTTAGGGTTTAGGGTTTAGGGTTTAGGGTTTACGGTTTGGGGTTTAGGGTTCAGGGTTTAGGGTTTAGGGTTTAGGGTTTAGGGTTTAGGGTCCAGGGTTTAGGAATTTGGGCAGTTTAGCGTTTGGTGTTCAGGGTCTTAGGGACATGCAAGGCGTTTTAAGTTCCTTCCGAAGGGTCTTACGAAACTTGCTTGCTTTCGAGGGTTGCCCCCGAAAGTGCAGGGCATGCAGCCAAAGTCTAAGCTTAAGCGGATGGGCCCCAGCCAGGGGCTGCCGGAGAATGTGGGAATGATCCCTTGCCACCGTGCAACATGCTGGCTTGCGTGGGGGATGCTGAACTACGTTTGCCGGCTTTGGCTAACTCAAGCCCGAACCCTGAACCCTAAACCCGAAACCCTAAACATACACCCTACACCCTAAACCCGAAACTCTAAACCCCAGCCCCTAAACCCGAAACCCCACTACGGCTTCCCCGGTCACTCTAGGCTGGCATAGTCCGAGAACATGCCGATCTGGCTGCTGATGCTGGCCTGGAGGAGGCGTGGGAGCCCTTCTATATCGTGGGCTGAGGGTTTAGGGTTGAGGGTTTTGGGTTTAGGGTGTAGGGTTTAGGGTTTAGGGTTTAAGGTTTAGGGTTTCGGGTTTAGATAGGTTTAGTGGGTTTAGGGTTTACGGGGTAGGGCCTTAGGGCGGCTTCGGGGGGCTTGAGGCTAACGGGTGCTTTGGGGGCTTTCTTTGGGGGAGGAGGGGGGACCATCGACGCCTGCGCTGAGGCAAAGGTGGTGGCGAAAGGCTTCGCTCGGGCTTTGCCCTTGGCTGCCGCCTTCCTTGGCTTGCGGGGAGGGGCAACTCGAAGGTTCATGGGTCGTGCTCAGGGTTCAAGGTTCAGGGTTTAGTGCTTCGTGTTTCGTGTTTCGTGGTTTAGGGTTTAGGGTTTAGGGTTTAGGGTTTAGGGTTTAGGGTTTAGGGTTTAGGGTTTAAGGTTTCGGGTTTCGGGTTTCGGGTTTAGGGTTTAGGGTTTAGGGCTTAGGGTTTAGGGTTTAGGGTTTAGGGTTTAGTGTTTCGCGTTTCGTGGTTTAAGGTTTAGGGTTTAGGGTTTAGGGCTTAGGGTTTAGGGTTTAGGGTTTAGGGTTTAGGGTTTAGGGTTTAGGGTTTAGGGTTTAGGGCTTACTAGCACCATCATTATGCTTACAATGTACGATACCTTAGACCCTACTCTTAACTGCCCTTCAAGAAGGGGGGTTCCATAACAAGCCCGATGGCGCTCTCTAAACTCCAGGCATTGCCTAAACCCTAAACCCAAGGGCTGTTTTGGAAAGGCCCCACTGAGGGTTCTGCAGTCCAAGGTCACATTTGCCCCAAAGACGCACACAAAACCTGTTTCTAAGGATTTAGGCCTCGGAGTTTAGGGTTGAGCGCGTTGACACCAACACAAGAGGCCAGGTATCCCGCCCCCCCCACTCTAGCTTCGAGTTCATGTTTTCAAGCATCAAGTTGTAGATAGTCGAGGGCACCACCCCACGCAATTCTACCTGAGATCTTGGGGGCCTGGAGCCAGTCTGGCCCTAAACCCTAGACCATAAACCCTGACCCCTAAACCCTAAACCCTAAACCCTCAACCCTAAACCCTAGCCCTAAACCCTAAACCCTAAACCCAAGCCCCTGGGAGCATAAAGAGGGTACCTGTTCTCGTCTGAGCACCAGTCCCTAAACCTTCAAGCCCCGCATAACCCCAAACCTTTGGAGGGTTTAGGGTTTAGGGGTTTAGGGTTTAGGGTTTAGGGTTTAGGGTTTAGGGTTTAGGGTTTAGGGTTTAGGGTTAAGGGTTAAGGGTTAAGGGTTTAGGGTTTAGGGTTTAGGGTTTAGGGCCTAAGGTTGAAGGTTTAGGGTTTAGGGTGACAAGGCTTGGTGTATTGCGGGTTTTAATGTCTGTGGAGGGCTTTTGGTTTAGGGTTTAGGGTTTAGGGTTTAGGGTTTAGGGTTTAGGGTTTAGGGTTTAGGGTTTAGGGTTTAGGGTTTAGGGTTTAGGGTTTAGGGTTTAGGGTTTAGGGTTTAGGGTTTAGGGTTCGGTTCACTTGCAAGGCCGGGTTATAAGTCGGGGTAAGGCCATGAATACCGTTGCACTACCGACAACCCTACCTTGCAAGTGAACCGAATCCCAAAACAACAAACCCTGCGCAAACGTACTTCAAACGCTAATAACCTACAACCCAAAACCTAATCCCTGTGACGTACTTCAACGCTAATAACCTACAACCCAAAACCTAATCCCTGTGACCCTAAACCTAAACCTTAAACCCACTTCAGGGTCTGAACCGCGAACCCTTCCAAACCTCAACAAATCCCCCTAACCGGAAACCCTTAGGCCCAAACCCTAAAATCAAAAAACTCCAAAGGCCCTGAAACCTCAACACACTGAAAACACCAAAACAAAAGTTAAACACCTTGCACCAAAAGCTCAGAAACATCTTGAAAACATGAACAAAAATTCCAGAAACTCTCAAAGCCTAAGCCCTAAACTCCCAAAACCCCTAAACCCCAAAACCCGAAACCCCAAACCCTAAACCCCAAAACCCCTAACCATAAACCCAAAACCCTAAACCCTAAACCCTAAACCCAAAAAACCCAAAAAACCCAAAAAACCCAAAAAACCCAAAAAAACCAAAAAACCCTAAACCCTGCGCAGCCAGGTGTCTTAGGGGAGGCCGCCTTGGGCTCAGGCTCGGCCGCCGCCGCTGCCTCATGGGTGGCCCCTGCCTCCGATGAACATCGGGTCCAGTTTAGGGCTTGGGGGGTTTTAGGTTCTTGGGTTTTAGGGTTTTCGGGTTTAGGGTTTGGGGTTTGGGGAGGAGGAGGAGGAGGCTAGCAGCTGTAGCTGCAGCCGGCCCGCTCCTCCTCGCTCCTCCGCCTGTTTGTTTGTTTTGTCACGTGACGAGCAGTCTGGCCCTCCCGTCGCCTCTTTTCCCTCTTCCCCGGTCCACCCCTAACATCTGCTTGCGCCTTGGCTGCACTAGTCTAGTTCCCCCACTTGAACGCTCCGCGGAGGGCTGCGATGACGCTTCGGAGCGGCCCTGGGAAGGGGGGGGGGGAAGTGGGGGCCCACCAGGTACCAGGAACGAGATGCCAAAGGGACAGGGCGAAAGCGACGCCAACCGTCGAGCAAGTAACCGTCTACTTCTAGTTAAGTTTAGCACATTAGAGATGTGTTGGCAGTTTTTCTCTTGGGGTGGGGGTGGGTGGGCAGCAGAACAAAATATACGATAACCCCTTTATAAGGACCCCACAAAAGGGTACCCTGTCCTGGGTAACGCCCTGATTGCTTTTTGATTCATAGTTGGTTATGGCTTGTCAATCATAACAATGTCAAGATTCTTACTGGTACTGCTCTTATAAGCATCTTGAATAAGAAGTCAGTCAGTCAAGGGGTTTTGGAATCACGCGTGAAGGAGGGTGTGTATAAGGTTCATGCGGTTTAGGGCTTTTCGGCCACCATCAGGTAGAGAAGGACCACAATCACGAGGACCAGCCTCAATACGTCATAGGCGTTCGTGAAGTTCTCGAACCTGACGAAGCATTGCAGCGATGAGACAGGGAGCAGTGCGTAGCTCATGGTGCCAAGGCAGAGAAGGGCTCTTTGGAGATCAATTTGAAGATCGTCAATCCAGAGACCCTCCCTCCACGCCACTCCATGCCTTGCCAGTTGGCACATTTCGTGCCCGAGCAGCGTGCAGGTCTCAAGGGCACTGAAGGGTGATGATCGCCGCTTCCGTCGTCCTCATCATCGCCCATGGAGGGCGAATCAAGCTTTCTCACACTTCTTCAAGCTCTCCTGATCCGGGGCACCAAAGGCGCCACCTTCATACCTGGACAGCATGACCTTGTGGTGTGCTCCTTGTCGCAAAGAGGCCCCGAAAACCAAACCCTAAACAACCTCGCCCGAAACCCTGAAGCCTAATCCCAAGCCCTGGTCCTCAGATAGTCAAACCCTAAAGAACGTCCTAAACCCTGAACTCTCTAGCCCATGACTAGTCTTTCTTGGAGTATTCTGAAGCGTTAAAACTACAAACATCCTGAAACCCCAAAGCCTTCAAACCCCCAAAGCCCTCAAACCTCGAAACTTTAAAAGCCCCCTGCGCCCCTGAACGCCCCCAAAACCAGCCTCCTGCAGAATCTTCTGGACCTTCTTGTTTCCGCCAGCCAGTGACAACGGGGTCTGGCCCTGAGTTGCGGCACTTCCGAAAGGCTAGGGTTGAAAGGTGGAGCGTTTAGGGTTTAGGGCTAGGGTTTGGGGTGGAGCGTTTAGGGCTTAGGGATTTAGCGTGTTGGGGTTCAGGGGGGCCTAGGGTACCCTAAACCCCCAAACCCTAAACCCCAAACCCTACACCCCAAACCCTAAACCCTAAGCCTCAAATGAACCGACAAGAGCCCATCCTGAAGCCTGAGCCGGACATCCCACCGTCAGTGCCTGTGCGGACGTCAGGTTTGGATCTGCCTGCCATGCACCGGTTTGGGGTTGAGGGTTTGGGGTTTAGGGTTTGGGGTTGAGGGT